TAAAGAAAAACACTAAATGAATCAAATGATAAAGCTGTATGAATGGAATCCTTGCATTGATGTATACTCGTTAATTAATGATAACAAAATGTTGTAAAAACATTGTGATATGTTTGATAGTGCTAAAATGGATATATATTGTTTCAATTTGTCTAGTGAATGACGACATTTTTTTTAATCTACTGTCGCGTTGACCTTTGCGTGACCTTGGTCATGTATTTTTACTAGAGGGAAGTTTATGACAATACTGATCATATACTTCCAAAATGTATTGGTATCAAAGAGAATATACATATTCTTTAATCATTAAAACATCTCGAGGATTTTTGGCAATTTCAGAGTAGTTTTATGAAATGTAAACAAAATCTACCAGACTGGCTCATAAGCTAATTAGCATATTCAGACCAAGATTTGGGGTTTTCATGTCTCGGTTTCTCCCTTAAAAAATCATTTGCCAACAAGTTTTATTTCATGGTTCGATAAACCTATCCTTAGTATTTTTGAAGAACTATAAAAGAGTTGTTGGCTAGGTGCCGCATTAGAGATATTTGCCTTTTTGTAGTGCATACCTTTTAGTAAATTGAAATAAGGCTTCGGGAAGCTAAAAGCAAAAACTTCTCTTTTGCTTAAAACTATTCAAATCCTAATAATATTTTGGCAAATTAGCGAGAAATATCAGTATAATATTGTAAAATATTAGACTCGTAAGTTAAGATCGTTAATTTTCTGTGAAGTCTACAAATCTTCCAAAAATCACTTCACAAAATCGCAATATTTATGTCTGTCATGRGTACCGCGTTATGATTGCCGTAAAACAAGTATAAAATAAAATGAAGCGAATCGAATATGATTTTCCAACATTACTAATAGTAATAAACATTTGCTGAGAAAATGGGCGAATTTTATTAACACACAAAATTCGGCTGGTCGGAAGTTACACGGACCGCCTCTTAAATTTCTACGACAATCTTATGAAAATGGCGTCATTCTACCGTGATTGAGACTGGCACTATTGTCTCGATTCTTTATTTTTTTACATACACCTACTTGCAGAAACAAGGGGCCGTTTGGCGTGCGCATGCGCCAGTCTGTGGAAAATTCATTAGTGATTCACTTCAAGCGAGAAATTACAACGACACGAAGGACAATTTCCAAAAATGTTTTTGGCTGTTTTTGACCCTGAAATGTTCTGTCATGACTCAAGAACACTCATAAATAGTGTAACCTWCAACGAGGAAAAACACTGGCGTTATTGGACTGATTGGGACCGTTTAAAATCTTATTTAAGAAATGTTGATATTAATGACTTTGTGTTTACAATATGGAGGCTTCAGTGGTTTATATACGCAACTACTATTCCAGTTTTTGCTGAGTGATGRTCAAGATTCAACGCAGGTTATGAAGTAAATGGTAAATGTACACATGTAGTAATATAATTAGGCATCGTTAAGTAACATCGACCTCGAAATGTTCGAAAGACAGTTTCTTGAAGTGTACAATATTTACGCTTAAATATAATCAACTGTTACATGAAATACTACTTTCCTTTTATATACCACCAGGACTCATTAGAATAAGGCTACCAATATCAAGACTTATGCTTTGCAAATGGTTTGATAATGTTTTCTTGTCTATGAAAAATGTGGAACGGTGTTAATTCTGCAAATTCTTACGTGCTGTTGAGCACTCACGACAGATTTAGCATTCTTTTGGCTGAAGAGTTGAGCTTGTTTGAATCAAGTTATCATAAATATCTATGTGTAGTTCTATAGCTGTATCATTATAAGTTATGAAATAAACTATTGCAGTGCAATCGATTCACATCTTAGGAATTTATTATTGCTAAAGGTGTGCACAAATAATTCACTACATTTTAACGGTACAAAGTGGCTTCGTGTTATAAATCTAGCCCGAGACTCACAGTAATTTATATAAAGTTTGAAAGATATTCGTGTGCATTGTAAATATATCTACTTGGTTTTGTTTGGAAAAATGTGGAAGATAAGTAAAAACATCAATTATGTTCAGAATCGAAGCTTCCGCAGCTACTACAATGTTATTCTACCCGTATTCTAGAGCCCATGGTCGTTATAACGCAGCGGTTGCGCGCATGCTCATGCATAACGGCCTCTTGTT